ACTGCTGCTCCCCACACCCTCCACTCAGGCAGAGTTCATCTCGACTACACTGTGAATGTTTGTCTGGGCCAGGCACAGCATCCGGAGCAAGCGGGTCATTACTACACTCAAGGAACTCACCCCAGAGCAATAAACACATCTACTCGGAGGGTGGAGAGAGGTTTTAATTTCTTAAGTATGAGTGTTAACTCTAGGATGAGTTACTGACCCGGCTTATGACTGTTTATCTTCGTTCTTCAGGTAATAGTTCTTCCAGAGGCCCCCAAGTATCTGGATGGCCCATTCTAAATACATTTCCTTAATTGAAGCATATTTAGTTAAAAGAAAAACAGGAGAAGACAGAGAAAGATTTAGCAAGAGTAACCACAAAAAATAAGAATAGGGCCATGGAGGTGGCTCAGTGGAATAAGCGCTTCCCTGGCAAGCACAACGGTCTGAGTTCAATCCCCGGTTCTGCCAAAAAAAAAAAGAAAGGAAAAAAGTAAGATTGGAAGCGCTTCAGTAGCCACTAGCATTCACATACTGGCTTGCCTTTGAAAGCTTCTGTTCCAGTTTTCAATGGGGGTTGAAAGTGTAGTTCAATGACAGAGCATTTGCCTAGCATGTGTGAAACCCTGGGTTTGATCCCTAGCACTGAAAAATTTCCCATAACATCTTATCAGAAAGTCTCATGAATTTCCTGTTCCAGCTGTGGTCCCCTGGTGAAGGGGTTCCTGGTTCCTGTGGGAAGTAAGATGTCCCTTTGAAATAACTTGATTCAAGTTAATTGTGTTCATTTAGATATACCTAACACATCCCCTCAGTGAGTGTCACACCCCAGGCTGGCAAGCAGTGTGCAGACAGGAGTGCTGGGTGTCCAGGGTGAGTAAGCCCTGGCTGAGCTGCCTTGGGTTGCTTCACCCTTAGGTCCGAAGAGACCTTCTGATTGCACAGCATAGAACTCCACTTTGTATAAATAAAATTTAAGCCAAAGAAACTTTACCATTGAAATTTGTTATGGACCAACGAAGGGTGGTCCCAACCCCAATACCTGGCATGTTGGGGGAGCTTCCAATCAAATGACATGCCAAGTAAAACAAAGATAGTTTCACAACTATCACCAGTTCCAGAACAAAGGCAGACTAAGAAAAACTAAGTAAAAGGAATATATAAAAATATAGGCAAAAGGGGCCAGGGAGATAGCTCGGTGGACTAAGCGCATGTGTGGCAAGCTCAAGGACCAGGAGGGTCTCCTGCCATGCCAGCCTCCCGCCCTAGCCAGCCACCCAAACCAGGCATGGTGACACCACCCCTGTAATCCCAGCGCTGGAGAGGCTGAGACAGGGATCACTATGACTCCAAGCTGAGTAGTGAAAACTTGTACCAAATAAATAAATGATTAAAACATTTATGTAAGCAAAAAACAATGAAGGACTTGAAAAGAGTCTTAGTAATGAGCCAGACACAGTCACGTCTGTAGAAGGAATTGTCCAAATGGTCAGGAGAGCATTCCGTCAAGTCACATCATCAACTATGAAATAAGGACTTTTCACTGGGCGGAGTCCCCAATGAAAGCCATTTCTGAATGAATATTCGTAGGGTGAGGCACAGGGAGGCACTGTCTCAAATGTCAGTGTACTACTTTTTATATCCCAGAACCTGTTACTCAGAATCCACTCCACTTTGGAGGCAAATGCTTCAGTTGCCAACTCTTATCTGTATCTCATAACACTGTTCTCCAGCATCCTCCACTGGGCTTAGTCATGGCTTGTGACGAGAGAAAGTCTGACAATGAAGTTAGCGCTGTGAAAGCACAGTCATGGTCCTTATAATTAAAATTCCAGCTGGGCATGATGGCACCCTTGCAATCCCAGCACTTGGATTTATATTTATATATAAATATAAATCCAAGTGCTGGGATTGCAAGGGTGCCATCATGCCCAGCTGGAATTTTAATTATAAGGACCATGACTGTGCTTTCACAGCGCTAACTTCATTGTCAGACTTTCTCTCGTCACAAGCCATGACTAAGCCCAGTGGAGGATGCTGGAGAACAGTGTTATGAGATACAGATAAGAGTTGGCAACTGAAGCATTTGCCTCCAAAGTGGAGTGGATTCTGAGTAACAGGTTCTGGGATATAAAAAGTAGTACACTGACATTTGAGACAGTGCCTCCCTGTGCCTCACCCTACGAATATTCATTCAGAAATGGCTTTCATTGGGGACTCCGCCCAGTGAAAAGTCCTTATTTCATAGTTGATGATGTGACTTGACGGAATGCTCTCCTGACCATTTGGACAATTCCTTCTACAGACGTGACTGTGTCTGGCTCATTACTAAGACTCTTTTCAAGTCCTTCATTGTTTTTTGCTTACATAAATGTTTTAATCATTTATTTATTTGGTACAAGTTTTCACTACTCAGCTTGGAGTCATAGTGATCCCTGTCTCAGCCTCTCCAGCGCTGGGATTACAGGGGTGGTGTCACCATGCCTGGTTTGGGTGGCTGGCTAGGGCGGGAGGCTGGCATGGCAGGAGACCCTCCTGGTCCTTGAGCTTGCCACACATGCGCTTAGTCCACCGAGCTATCTCCCTGGCCCCTTTTGCCTATATTTTTATATATTCCTTTTACTTAGTTTTTCTTAGTCTGCCTTTGTTCTGGAACTGGTGATAGTTGTGAAACTATCTTTGTTTTACTTGGCATGTCATTTGATTGGAAGCTCCCCCAACATGCCAGGTATTGGGGTTGGGACCACCCTTCGTTGGTCCATAACAAATTTCAATGGTAAAGTTTCTTTGGCTTAAATTTTATTTATACAAAGTGGAGTTCTATGCTGTGCAATCAGAAGGTCTCTTCGGACCTAAGGGTGAAGCAACCCAAGGCAGCTCAGCCAGGGCTTACTCACCCTGGACACCCAGCACTCCTGTCTGCACACTGCTTGCCAGCCTGGGGTGTGACACTCACTGAGGGGATGTGTTAGGTATATCTAAATGAACACAATTAACTTGAATCAAGTTATTTCAAAGGGACATCTTACTTCCCACAGGAACCAGGAACCCCTTCACCAGGGGACCACAGCTGGAACAGGAAATTCATGAGACTTTCTGATAAGATGTTATGGGAAATTTTTCAGTGCTAGGGATCAAACCCAGGGTTTCACACATGCTAGGCAAATGCTCTGTCATTGAACTACACTTTCAACCCCCATTGAAAACTGGAACAGAAGCTTTCAAAGGCAAGCCAGTATGTGAATGCTAGTGGCTACTGAAGCGCTTCCAATCTTACTTTTTTCCTTTCTTTTTTTTTTTGGCAGAACCGGGGATTGAACTCAGACCGTTGTGCTTGCCAGGGAAGCGCTTATTCCACTGAGCCACCTCCATGGCCCTATTACTTCTTATTTTTTGTGGTTACTCTTGCTAAATCTTTCTCTGTCTTCTCCTGTTTTTCTTTTAACTAAATATGCTTCAATTAAGGAAATGTATTTAGAATGGGCCATCCAGATACTTGGGGGCCTCTGGAAGAACTATTACCTGAAGAACGAAGATAAACAGTCATAAGCCGGGTCAGTAACTCATCCTAGAGTTAACACTCATACTTAAGAAATTAAAACCTCTCTCCACCCTCCGAGTAGATGTGTTTATTGCTCTGGGGTGAGTTCCTTGAGTGTAGTAATGACCCGCTTGCTCCGGATGCTGTGCCTGGCCCAGACAAACATTCACAGTGTAGTCGAGATGAACTCTGCCTGAGTGGAGGGTGTGGGGAGCAGCAGTGGTAGGAAACTGTGCCCATGGATTCACTGAAACCTGGGCACCCTCCTTGCGTGGCCCCCGGGATGCAAATCTGGAACCACCAGTGTTTACATGGAGAGAGGAACTACAGTAGGTCTTCCAGGATAGGCCAAGACCAGGGGCTGGGTATCTATTTTGCTGAGTCTCTCCTGGTCCAGGTCGACCAGAGCTGAAGCCAGGGTACTGTGGAGGATTCTCTTCCCAGGCGGGTGCCTTCTGGCTCTTCCCTATCCCGTAAAAAGTGCAGGAGCGGGCTTGGGGGTGGGGAAAGGCAGCTTCACGCATAGTGCAATGCCCTGCACACAGAATTGGGGGCATTCAACAGCTGAAGCTCTAAGAGACTGGCTTGGGACTACATCTGCCAGGTAAAGCGACGTGGGGTGCGGGCTGGGGGAACACGAAAGGACGCGTGCGATGGACCCATCCCTCGGCCGCCCTGTGTGTGCGTGGGAGGACCACACCTTCAGGACGGGAGAATGAGACAGGTCCAGGGTACAGAAGAGTAGGGTGGGGGCGAAGGTGGCACGCGGAGGCCAGGCCCTGGGAGCCCGAGGTCCGCGAGGACCGGGAGGCCCCTAGCGGCCGGCGCTAGAAGCTGGCGAGGGCGGAGGGCACTTCCTGCCCAGGCGGTCAGGGAGGAGCGGTCCGCGGAGGAAGCGCCGCGGGGCCGCGCGGCCGCGCGGGGCGGGGCAGGAAGTGGGGCGGTGGCTGGGAGTTGGCGCTGGTCCCACCCAGTCGGCCCGGGGAGTCAGAGTCCTGAGGTTGCAGCCCCAGTACGCGGCTCGCATAGCCCGAGGAGGCCAAAGACCTCGCCCGCCAGCCCACGCCCACCCGGCAAACGAGTTCTTCCGAGTCCGCTGACGCGGCCACGCCCACCCCAGCCACGCCCCACGGCCCACCCCTGCCCGCCCATTAGTTTGGCTTCGTAGCTAAATTTCGTGTCTTCGGTGTTAACAGTCTTTGAAAGCTCAAAGAAGGGGGTCGGGGAGATGGCTCAGTGGAATAAGTGCTCCGGCAAGCACAAGGGCCTGAGTTCAATCCCTGGTTCCGCCAAAGGCTCAAAGAAGCAGAGTAACTCAGTACTGCAATCTGATGTGCAAGAGTCCAACCCCAGACTGTCTTCACGACCCTACGGGAAGCTAGGGGCCTGGGCCACTCCTCCCTCCCCTGTCCCCTCCGAAGCTTTGCAGAAGCAGGGTCACTTGCACACACCAAAAACCACAGAAGCAGGATGGGGGCCTGGCTTTCTCTTTAGTTGTCACACTGTGAGGCTGTCAGAGAAGGCACTTAAACAGGAAGGTCACCCGACTCAGGTCACCAATATCCTCCCTCCACCACCAACTCCCTTGGCACTGGTTTGTGGGGTCCCTGATCCAGACTCCACTGGTGTGGGGGTTCAGAAACATAAGTCAGAGTTGGAAGGCAAGAAATCCTGGGGGCGAGCCCCCAGCCAGCAGGGGGTCAGAAGAGGTTGCAGAGGGTGGGCTGGCACAGAAGAGGGGGACAGCTTGGCCAGGTGTTCTAGAGAACCCCCCCAAGCCCAATAAGGTCCCACCTCCTGCAGATACCTCTAAGGCACCTGTGAAGTCTGAAGTGGGTGGGGAGAGGCACCAATTATGGGTGGAGACCCCTACACACTTAGCTGGTGGACCTAGCACATTGCTGGGCATAGAAGGTGCTAGAGTAGTTTTGAACGAATGGAGCAAGGGTGGGGGGTGTGAGGGACTGAGGACAGAGCCGGAGCCCCCATGGCCCAGCTTGTTCCATTCAGAAAATAGTTTTTAAAAAATGTAAAAATCCTTTCCCTCCCTCCCCCTAATTTCTGGGCCCAGGAAAGGGGGAGGAAAGGTTGTCTATCCCAACCCTTCCCCCCCTTCCCTTAAAAGTCTATATACACATATACATATTTATATGGCACCACAAGGGGGTCCTGCCTATGCCCCCACTTAGAGCTTGGGGAACCAAGCTGCAGGGCCTTAGGGTGGTTAAGGCAGAAGTAGGGGGTCCAAGGTTGGGTGCTGTGGGGAGCAGCTGTCAGCCTTCAAGAAGTGAAGCTGCTCCCCTCACCAATAGTAACAGACCTCCCCTCTTGTCTCTCCCTCAGGGCAGAAACTGCTGGTGGCTCCATCAGTCCTATCAGTCCCAAGGCGGAGAATGGGCAGGACAAGATTGGTTCTTCCTGCACCAGCCTAGAGTGCAGCCCCCTGCACTTTTCCAGTGGGAGATGGCAGGAGCATGGCTGTGTTGTTGTCCCTGGGCAAGCTGATAGGGAAGAGAGCATTTACGCAAGGCACTTGGTGTCCACTGTTACCAGGCTGGGGGTCAAAAACCCTGTCTTCACAGCCAAAGCAGAACTAGGCAGGGCTAAGGGGCCCAATTTGGCAGCAGAGAAACATGGCAGCATGGAGAAAGGAGACAGAAAGGGGAGCAGCAGGCAGGGTCCCCGGTCCCCCTAAAAGGGGGGCAGAGGTTTGAAGGCACTGACAGAGGCCCAGGGGCTCATCGTTCTTGGTGCAGCCAGTGGGGCTAACAGGGGCGATGCCTGCTTCCCCAGGGCTGTGAACGTGGTGCAGCCTGCAGGCTTCTTAGGAAAGAGTACAGGCAAGTACCCAGAGTCTGCGTGGCAGGAGGTGCAGGCTTCTGCCAGGGGCAGGTCCTGGCCCCATGGCGCCTCACTAGCTCCCAGGCCGAGGCTGCCTGAGCACTGAGTACACGTCGTCCACTCGGCTGAGTTGCTCAAAGAAAGGGAGGAGGTCATGGAGTTCAGTGTCACTCATGTTATCAAACCACGAGGCCACTGGTACCTGGGGGAGTGGGAAGAGGGAGGTGAGCATGCAGGCTGGCCAGCAGCTTAATGCCAGCCCTAGGCACCTACTACTCAAGTAGGCTGCCTAACTCCTGGGAACCCAGTGGCTACAGTACTCACGGCTTGACAGCAACTCCCAGGAATGCATGTCTAACAAAAGTTTCACAGAGCAATGCTACAACTTACTGTGTGTGAGGTATTCAGATTATTAAAAATCCCAATCAGGACTCATGAAATTTATGCTGTGGCCCATTAATAAGTCACAACGGGCACTGTGAAAAGCTTAAGCCATCTCACTGCCTGGTGGCAAGCGCCATCCACACACAGGTAGAGTGGTCCAATTAACCAGGTACCAGGCAGCAGCAGTGGGTGACAGGCACAGGTCATTGAGTGCAGGAAAAGGAATGAATGGGAAGGTGTGTCCACATGGCACTACCAGATTTGGGGTTGGGGAGGCCAAGGCAGCCTGCATGGGCTCTTGTCCCTCCCACTGTCACAGCCCTGTGTGGCCCTCAGGCACTCACGGCATTGTCTGGGTGGAAGACATAGGAGGCCGGAGAGTTGTCCAGGATGAGCACCCGCCGGAGGTCTCGGCCCAGCCGACTCAGGTCCTTCACATAGTTTCCCCGGTGGAAGACACATGACTCTCGAAACAACCGGGCCCGGAAGGCCCCCCACTTGTCCAGCAGGTCAGCTACTGGGTCTGCGTACTAGGGGTGGAAGGTGGGTAATCCAGAGGCTGGGGGTGAGCCAGGGCTCTATCTGGCTGCATGCTGGAGGCAGATGGGAGGGCAAGGTTACCCCACATCCCTGGCAGGGGCTCACCTTAGCCAGGCTGGCGGTGAACAGCACGCATTCGAAGAGCTCACCCATTCGCTGCAGGAACTCGTCAACATGGGGCCGCTTCAGCACGTAGACCTGGGGGGTGGGCCAGTGAGGGGCTGTGGCCCTTGGGCTGGGGAGGGGCAAGAGAGGGCTGGGAGGGGGTGGTGGAGGAGCTGGGCCAGTGGTCCCTTAGAAGCTGCCCCGCCCCAACCACCCAGTGTCCCAGAGGATCCAAACAAGTTTCAAGTCCACCAGCTTCAGATCCTGCCTGAAGAGTCACTAAATCCTGGTCTCGTCCCCCATCTTGGCCTCAAAAGATGCAGGAATCTGTGGACAGCCCCCTCACCCCAAGGCTGCAAAGCGCCGGCCCCCGAGCCAAGTAATGGAGAACAGGCTGGACAGCACACAACCTATCCTGAATTACTTGAACTGGGTCCCGGGCAGGGGATGTAGGGCGAGAGGGCACAGCAAGGCCAGGCCAGACGCCTGGAGTTGGCCAAGTCCCTGAGGTTCTGTGTGACCTCCAGCAAGGCTCACACCTTCTCTGGGTCTCTACCATAGCACCTTTATCAAAGCCTCATGCAGCGCTCGCTCTCTCCAGATTGGTGGGAGGAGTGTGGGGTCTGGAGGCAATGCCAAGCCTGCCACCTCTTGCTCTGCCCCTCACCTGATGAATCACCCCATCGATCTCCACCGGGATGATGAAGTCGGCATTGTTCACTGGCTGTGGGGGGGGGGAAGAGGTGCTGGAGCCACAGTGGGCAGCCCCAGGGCCCAGCTGAGACCTCCCTCCCCAGCCAGGGCAGCCCCCCACCCCCAGGCTCAGGGCCGACTGCTGCTGGCCAGGACCCACCTTGAAGGAGCTGTGCACCAGGGTCTCATCTAGGTCGATAACGACGCAGATCTTGTCAGAGTCCTGGGCTTTGGCCTCGGGGAGCAAGTACTGCACTGGGCTCTGCTGTAGGAGGGGTGTGCCTAGGTGGGGATGTCTCCCACAGGAGCTTCCCTCCCTGGTGGCGTGAGGACAATAGGCCATCCCACCCCTCTTCTGAGTTTTGTCACAAGATCTCCACCAGGACCCTTCCCCTAAGCCCAGGTGTCCCTGCTGCCCCTGCCTGCCCCCTACACACCTTGGGGATGGCACCATTCTCTTCCACCAACAGGGGTGCCCCACTGTGAGCAGGCAGTGCCTCTCCATCTTCACGGCACACACAGCAGAAGAGCGAATGGAGGATGCCCCGGCTCCGCGGCTTCTGGGAAGTGGCTGACTTCTGGTCACCTGAAGCAGGGAGGCCCAGGTTGGGGACATGGATGTGCTGGCCTGCAGAGGCAGGCAGCCCAGGTGGGAACTGGAAGCTGGCCTAGCCACACTTCCTTCCTTTAGGGAGGCACTGAGAAGGGACTCGACCCTGAAATGCGCCTGCCTGGGCCCTGCCAGTCCCCCATCCAGGAGTCCAGTGTGGCTACAAAGGCAAGCACGTTTCCTTTAGGGTAAGCGACAAAGGGGACAGATGCTTCTCTACCACCTTCACACCTTACCCGGGCAGCCTTTGCTCAGGAGACCCAGGGCCTGCGGCCCAGTCGCCCACTCCCACTCTACCTCCATCCTATCCACCTTGTGGGTTCAAAGTCCTCAGAGGCAGGGGGTGCAGTCCCAAGGCCTTAGGCCAGTGTCCCTGCCGCCATTGGCTGCCCCCGCCCTCTCCACCCCGCCCAGCCCAGACCTCCGACCTGCAGCGGGCGCGGCCGCTGATTGACAGACCCGCTCTCTACCGCCCTACCCGGGCTGAGCTGGGCCTAGGCGGGAAGTGGGTAGACCTGCCAGGACTTCCAGGCCCCGAGGACTACTCGAGGCCAAGGAGAGACCATGACCCTACTCTTCTTGCCTGGGGTGCAGCCTTGGGGGGGGTTTTCTGGGTGTGTGCGCAGATGCACAGTCCAGGCGCCCGTGGCCTGCAGCCCCGGGACTGCAGCCCCTGCAGGGCACTGAGCTGCCCCGAGGACGCGGAATAACTGCTGGAAGTTCGGGCTCCTCTCTGTCACAGAGGTGCTCGGCGCTTCCCCGCAAGTCGCGGAAGTTTGTAGGAACGTGGCTGCCGGTTGGCGGGAGATCTCCCAAGCCCCTCTGGCCAGCTGTCACCTCTGCACCCCCTCCAGAGACCCGACTTTACTAAAGTGCTGAGAGGTGGAGTCTACGGGTGGCCCGAAGGTGGCCACCCCACCCCCTATTTCGCAGTTCCATTGGCGCCAACGGTGGTGGGGGAGCGACATCCAGACACCGCCGGCCCAGGAACCCCCACAGAGCCCCCCTCCTTATCTCAGCCTCAGTTTCCCAATCTGGATAAGATCAGAGTGCATTAGAGGCGCCAGGCCCCGCCCCACGTCTCGGAGACTCCCCGAGTTTAAACTCTGCCCTCTCCACCTCTTGGGCCGGGAGCTCCAACCCAGCCAAGGCGGGTGCCCGGGGTGGTGGCAGCAACTGCTGTATAGGAACAGACCCCGGTTCCCTCCTCTTACCCCTGGCCGCGCCCCGACTGCACCCCCCTCCCGACACCCCAGTACCTTTGCCCCGCAGCGGGCCCCGCGCCTCCTCCTTGCTTATCTGAGTAATGACGGCCGAGCTGTCCATGGGGCCGGGCGCGCTCCCCTCCGGCCGGACTCTGGCCCCGGCGCCCGGCCTCCCCCCCGGCTCTGGCCGGAATCGGGGCGCGGGGGGGAGGGGAGCGTGGAAGGGAGGGATCCCCGCGAGCTTCGGAGGGGAGGGGAGCCAGGTTCTAAGGGGGAGGGGGAGGGAGGGGGCGCGGAGGAAACTTTGTTACAACATGGAGTTTCCTCCCCGCGAGGCGGATGCAAACATGGAACCCAGGCGCTGTTTCAAGGCTCCCCCTTAAAAGGGCAACAGCTTCGGCGTGACCTGGACTCGGCCGCGGCTTTCAACACTTCTGCGGCCGGGGCGGCTCCGCGGGCGGAGAAGCGGGCTGGGCCTGGTTCCTGCAGGATCCACTGGGCGTTGCTTCCTTTCCTACAGCCCGCCCTCCAGACAGAGCCTCTGCGGCTGCGTGGCAGGTCAGACACTCGGCCCACCTCCGGGACACAGAGCCCCGGGGCCAAGGCCTGGGAGCGCCCGAGGGCGGCGTACCTCGGGCTCTGCTGATTCCCAGGAGCTTGGCACTAGTTTCTTCTCGGTTTGCTTAACTGGGAAATGGGGTAACTCAATTTATTTGTAAGATGGGTTTTATATCTGGTGTTGGAAAAAGCCACTTCGCAGGCACGTCGCAACAAAGACTCCAGTACTACTGCTAGCTACAGAGATCTGTGGGAAGTCGAGCTAGGTGGCATACGCCTAGCATTCAGGAGGCTAAGGCAGTAGGATTGCCATGAGTTCGAGACCAGCCTGGATATAGAGTGACACTTTATCTAAAAACCAAAAAGAAAAAAGCAAAAAAAAAAAAAAAAAAA